TCCAAGAGCAGCATTTAACGCATGGAAGGGAAAACATTTGGCCTCTGACCCACGCTCCTGTTAACAGCGCCGTGGTCCACATTGCTGAAATGCCGGGGCTAAAAACAGTGCTGGTGACTCAGTTGCTCGCTGGTGTTGTCAACTGACTCCGGGCGCGATGTGCCAAGTTCCCCCCTTCGCCTTCTCCCTTTCAGGGCTGCATGCTGGGGCCGGGGCTCCGCCGTCCACCTGCTGCTCCATCTCCGAGGGCACTGCTGTGCTCTGGGGACGGTGCTGCTCCCCCTTCTTACCTCCCATCCTCAACCTCGAGGGCTGGGTGGGACACGGGGACCTTTGGAGCATAGCTGTGTCGGTGCCGGATCAGTGTGCTTAGGGCTGAGTGTGGTTTGAGCACTGCGTGTCTCCAAGGATGGAGAGTGCCACCCTCACCTCCAGACCCCATCCCAGGACATGCAGTGCACAGAGCAGAGCTGTGCTCCTCCATGTGCTGATGAAGACGAAGGCCCTCAACCATCCTCCCACCAGGTGCCAGTGTCACCCAACCCAACAGCAGCCACACGGCCAAGCTGGGGTGAGGGGAGGCAGCGGGCCAGTCCCAGCTGTATGGCAGCAGCCAGGTGCCAGCCTGCATTGCTGGCAGCGTGGCATGAGGGTGGCACGGTCTCCCTGGGGGCTCGCCCATGGGGCTGCAGGGAGGTGTGTGCACAGCATCCCATAGGGCTGATGGGGATGCTGGAGCTGTAGCTGGTTGCATGGTGGAATGCAGCCCTTTGGGTGCTGTCAGCACAAAGGGGAGGCGGTGCCAGGAGGCTTTGGAGAAGGAGGGGATGTGGGCATCACCCACGTGTCCTTGTTGACCTCCAGCTTTGTCACCGCCATGCTGGCTGGTGGCAACAGCATGGCCGTCCTGATGCAGTGATCGCTGGGAGGGGGACCCCCAGTGCCAATCCCTCAGAGGAGCAGCGGCAGCGTCTGTCCCTGCGCCGTGCTTGCAGGCGGGATGTCAGCCGAGGGGCTGCATGGGGCAGAGCCAACAGCGGGTGGAGGTGGCTGCGTCTATTTTTGTCCCTCTCTGCCCTGGTGGGGTTGCTGACTGCAGCACGGCGGTGAGCACAGCAAGCGGCTCTGGGGCCTTTTTTGCAACTTCCTCCGCCCGCGCTGCTGTCACATTAAAAGCAGGGTCCTAAAAATGAGGAACCACGGAGCCGGGCAGGGCAGGGAGGAGCGCGGAGCAGCTGTGACCGGCCAGCCCTGGTGCCCGGAGACCCCCTAAGCCCCCCCATCGCCCCCGACCCAGGTAACGCGTGTCCCCTTCCCGCCTGGCCCTGGCGGCTGTGCGGGTGTGGGGTCGGCTGGGCGCCGTCATTGCCGCTCTGCACCCAGAACAAGGCTGGAGCAAAGCCGTGGGGTGGGAGCAGGGAGCGCCGGGTGCTGCAGGAGCGCATCCCAGTGGGGGCCGAGAGGCGCTGTGCCCCCCCACATCACCTGCAGTGCTGCCATGGGGCCGGGCTGGGGCATGAAGGGGGGTTTCTTGCCCGCTGCCCCCCACGTCTGCCCCACGCCGCCACGTTTGAAAAATCAGAACCAGGAAGGAAGGATCGGTGGGCACCCACAGCAAGAAGCGGAGCTGCTTTCACTTCTTCCTTCTCCATTTCCTTTTCTCAGCCCTCGTGCTTGTCAGTGGAGCAGCACTGGGGCTGGGGGGCTGCTCACTTCCCTGACTGCCTGGGGCCGGGGCTGCCTGCATGCAGGGCTCTGTGCTGAGGCAGAGGGGTGCAGCAGTGCAGCGTTGCTCCCTCTGCTCCTCCACTTTTCTGCTGCGAGCAGAGGAGGAGATGCTGTGCTTGCTGCATGCACTGCTGGCAGTGTGGGTGCTGCTTTGCTGCAGAGGGCAGCGTGATCCTTCCAGGTGCTGCATCTGAAAGCTGCCCTATGGCACATTTTATTTTTAATCCCCACTTCTTAAGCTGCTTCACTTTGCTATCCGGGCACTCCTGAGCCCAGAGGTGCACCTGGGGATGGGGCAGCAGTGGCACTGAGAGCAGGGTGCTCCTGGCTGCATGTCCTCTGCGTGTGTTGTGGAGCAGCACCGGGGTGGCACGGCCGAGTGCACAGCAGTTGCTGAGCAGCCGATGCCGGCTCCTTTATCAGCTGTTGTCTGCGGCCCGTTTAGGGGCCAAAGGGCAGCGCGGGGGCCACGCACGGTGCCGCAGGGTCGGTGTCACCAGGGCGGCTCCGGCCGCAGTGATTCCTGAGTGCTGCCGGGGTGAGGGAGGGGCAGGCTGCTGAAATAACACCCCCGGAGGAGAAGCAAGGAAGGGCCAGAAATAACCGTGTTGCTGCAGCATGCTGGAGGTGCTCGGAAGGGAGAGAAATCCCCCTTCTGCTTTTGGGGCCAGGAGCCGATGCACGCTGCCCCTGCTCGGGCATTGGGGTTCAGTGCTGTTGTTGTGGGGCTCTGCTCCTCGAGGAGAGCCCTGGGGTGGCTCTGCAGGGTTTGCTGCCCAGGTTATGTCTCCTGTGGTGCATCTCTGCTGTGCACCTGGCAGGGCAGTGTGTTCCCCCCAGCCTGCCCCATATTTCCCCCTGGCCCTCTCTCCATCCCTGCTGCTCTTTGTGCCCCCCACCGCCCCTTTCCATCCCCAGCTCTGCTCTCCACTTGGTGAGCGATGCGCGCTGCCCCGAGCAGTGCCTGCACACACCCTGCTGTCCCACAGCTGGGCACACTGGGACCATGCATGGGGACAGATCCTCACCCGGCCCGTGGGATCCCCTCCATGCAGGGCTATGCTGGGACAGTGGAACAGTGCCGGCAAGCACCGGGCACGCTTCTTCCTGGATGCCAACACCTTTCGCCTTCCCTAGAATAACAGGAATCCCAGACACGGTCCAGCTGAGGCAGGATGCATCCCCGGGGTGGGAGGTGTCCCTGGGGTGGTGCTGGGCAGTGCCAGTCCCGCAGTGCTGCCCTGGTCCGTGTCCCACCCCAGTGTCTCCCTCCTGCTCTGGGCTCCCACTGGGGCTGATTCAGAGTGAAAGCAGAAGCTGCCGGCTGCCCTGGGGGGGTGAAGCCAAGCAGAACCCAATGGGTTATTTTAAACCTGACCTAATTTCCCACCCTTCTCCTTATTGCTTGCCCGGGGCAGAGCCCCACTCTGACCACCTTCCCCATCCCTTCTCTACAGATGCAGGGCTTTCACAGGGGGACAAGGAGTACTTTTTGCTCCCACTGCCCTCAGTGCCTACAAAGGGGCAGCCGGGGGGAGTCCTGCAGCCCGGCAGGGTGGGGGGAACGGTGCCATGGGGTGAGCAGTGCTGTGGGGTGAGCAGTGCTATGGGATGAGTGGTGCTGTGGGATGAGCAGTGCTATGGGATGAGTGGTGCTGTGGGATGAGCAGTGCTATGGGATGGGGGATGCTGTGGGGACAGCAGTGCTATGGTGGTGCTGTGGGATGAGCAGTGCTATGGGATGGGTGATGCTGTGGGGTAAGCAGTGCTATGGGATGGGTGATGCTGTGAGATGGTAGTGCCATGCCATGGATGGCAGCCTTCTGCCTGCTGTGCCAGCTGCACTTTCATAGAGGCGCCCTGGGAGCCTCAGAGAGCTCTGAGCAAGGCAGCTCTGCTCTCCTTGCTCTCTGTGTTTCCCGGTGCCTGAGGTGTTGGCCACTTGTTGGTCACCTTCCTGCTGCTGCCCTCCCTGTGCTGTCACTCTACTCCTACCCAAGGATGCACCTTGCTGGGGTGTGGGGCCATGTGGAGCTGTTTGCTTGGAAAGGAGCGGATGATCCCAAAGGTTCATCATGAAATCCTATCTGTCTGTCCCCTGGTGCTAATGCATCCCAGAAAACACCATTGTCTGTCGACAGTGCTTTTCCCCCTCCAGCTCCGGCTCTTTGGATGATTTACCCAAAGTCCTGGCTGCCCTCTGAGGCCTTCCTTTTTGCCTTGCACTCAGCATTTGGGGTTATGGTGTCCCTCGTGTGCATGAGCTGTGATGTGTCCCCTCTGCCTCGTGTTGCTTACTGCAGGCTATCTGTGGCCCCTCTGGCTCCCACCAGCCTCTGTGGGATTGCTGTTCATCCCACATCCTCCTGCTCCGAAGCTCCATCTGATGCCTGTCCCAGGCTCCTCTTCTCCCATCCCCCTACGGATGGGCCACCATGTCTAATTAATTACCTTCCTCTTGCCGTTCAATAGCTGGCTCTTGATCCATGTAATCGTATTTCTGTCCATGCTGGCTTGATTTAATTTCCCCCTTAGGATATTGTGTGGCACTGCGTATCAGATGCCTTTCTGAAGCCCTGGTGTGTTGTCCCCACCGTGCCCCCTTTGTCTGCAATTATGCATTGTATTTACACAGCAGAGCCCTCCAGATCTCACTGGCTGTAAACCAGAGCCTGGATGCCTGGCTATGCTCCGTGTGCTGTGAGAGGGGATGGGGACTCTGCACAGCCCCAGTCCCGCACAGCAGCTCCGTGCCCCCATCTCAGCCCCATGTGGCAACCTGGCACCGTGGTTTGCAGCGCTTTGCATCCCAGACAGGGCTGTGCCCCCACCCCATGGCTGTCCCCTTGTCCCAGCAGCCCTGTCCCCTGCTCTCCCCGGACCTCCATCCCCTTTGTACAGGGGAACAAGGGCTGTGCTGTGTCTCCCCGCACCCCGCTCGCGTGCCGGCCCCGCACAAAGCTGTGTTGTTTGCCCGTGCTGCTGGCTGCAGTGCCTGGCACCACACTGCCTTCTCTGCCCAGCCTTCCTTCACTTTCTTGTTCTGATTTGGGCTGCTCCTGGTATCTGGCTTGTTGCTCTTGCTTTGTGCTGTGTTTCAGTGTTGGAGGCTCAGAGCAGGCTCCTGCAGATGCCCATCTGAGCTTCTTGAGCGCAAAGACCCGCCATGCTCCATCTCCTTCAGGCTGTCCCCACGTGCCCTGTCCCCTCCTCCCTCGCTGTGCCTGGGGAGCTGCAGGCAGAGCTGTCTGTCATTAGGGTCTGACTCACCCGTGTTCAGGCGGTGCTCAGTGTCCGGATGGCGGCGCGCAGACTGGAAGCTCAGCGTAGTGAACTCAGATTCAGGGCCGCTCCTGCAGCTCAGGCAGAGCACACAAGGCATGCCTGCTCCCTCCCTGCGCCTCAGTTTCCCTGCCGTGTTTCCTGATGCACAGCGTTTCCCCCTCCCTCCTTGCAGGGTCACCTCCGTGCCTGGCCTGCATCCCACCACCCCGCTGCACCATGGCGTCCCGCATCGGGCTGCGGATGGAGCTGATGAAGCAGCAAGCACAGCAGGAGGCTGAGCGGGAGCGTGCCCAGCAGCAGCTGATGATGAACTACATGCAGCAGCAGCGCATGCCAGTGGCCTCCACCCCCGCCATCAACACCCCCATCCACTACCAGTCCCCACCGCCCGTGCCTGGAGAGGTCCTCAAGGTACGGTGCCGGGGGGGTGGGATGCAGGGACCCCCCGGCGGTGCGGGGATGCTGATGGGTTTTGCCCACACAGGTGCAGTCCTACCTGGAGAACCCCACCACCTACCACCTGCAGAAGTCACGGGACAAGAAGGTTCAGGCATATCTCTCTGAGACCTATGGGAACAAGTTTGCTGCCCACGTCAGCCCTGCCAGCCACTCACCAAAGCCACCCCCGGCTGCATCCCCCAGCGTCCGGCCCGGCCACGTCATGTCCTCCTCAGCAGGCAACAGCGCGCCCAACAGCCCCATGGCCATGCTCAACATTGGCTCCAACCCTGAGCGGGAGGTGAGGAGGGGCTGCTGGGGGCACAGCCGCCCCAGAGAAGTCCGCTGACAACCTGATGCCTTTCCCTTTCAGTTTGATGAGGTCATCGATGACATCATGCGCCTGGATGATGTTCTGGGCTATATGAACCCTGAGGTCCACATGCCCAACACGGTGAGTCCAGGAAGGTGGCACAGAGTCCAGGGAGGTGGCTGTCCTCCATCCCTGACTCTGCAGCAGTGCTGGAGCTCGTGGCTGCTCTCATCCCAGCAGGAAATAACTCACACAGAGCAGCCCACGTCCCTCAGCACTGCTGTCCCATGTGCCATCGTGCCAGGGGGCAGCAGGCACCAGAGCAGGCTCATCCCCAGGGGAGAGATGAGAGCAGTGGAATGGCCCCATTTGACATGGGGCTGGGAAGGGTGGCCAGGAAATCTCCCTTCTGCAGCTGCCAGAGCCAGCTCCTTTTTAATGACAGTTTGCAGCCCTTATAAAATACTAGAGAGGCAGGAGGGGAGCATGGGGAGGGCGTCTGGAGTCAGGAGGGCTCTGCAGTTCACTGTGTCTCAGCCCTGGTCAGGTCTGTCCAGCAGCATGCTGTGACGTGGGGCTCGTCCTATTGGGCCCTCCTCGTCCTGCTGGGCCCTCCTCAGCTGTGATTCATCTGTCCCATTTGTGATGCTGGCTGTGGGAGGGCACCAGCTGTGCCCTTTGAAGTCCTGTTTTTCTTTGCTGCTCTGATTATAACTATTTTGAGTGCTGGGGAGGGCAATTAGAGCTGCCTTGTCTGTGCACTTGTGTCCAAGAGGCCGAAGAGCTGGGCTTGAACCCCGATCCCACGGCTCGGTCTGTCTCCTGGCCCCGGATGGAACTTACCTGCCTGTCCCTTTGGTTTTCAGCTGCCGATGTCCAGCAGTCACATGAATGTCTATAGTGGGGACCCTCAGGTGACCGCCTCTCTCGTTGGTGTCACCAGCAGCTCCTGCCCTGCCGAGCTCACCCAGAAGAGAGAGCTGACAGGTATGTCCCAGACCTGGGTATGTCCTCGTCCCCCGTTGTGTGCCCAGACCTGGGTACATTACATCCCCAGACCCAGGTGTGGCCCCCGACCTGGGTATGTCCCCATGCCCAGGTATGTCCCCAGCACCAGGTTTAGTCCGTGGCCCCAGACGGCAGGACTACCCTGTCCATGCGGGCACAGAGGATGGCTCTGGGGGATGCTGATGGGGCAAGGTGCAGCCTCATCCCCTCCGGGTGACACTGTGGGCCTCCATTTCAGATGCTGAGAGCCGAGCCCTGGCAAAGGAGCGCCAGAAGAAAGACAATCACAACCTGAGTGAGTTGGGTGCTGGTTGCCCATGGATGGCATGGTGTTACCTCTCTGACCTCAACACTCTTCCTCCTCTCTCCAAGCTGGGCCCCCTTCCATCCCATCTCACTCTTAGGGACATACCCCCATAGCCACTTCATTCCCAGCTCTGCAAAGCACTCATGGCGCAGAGGGCACCCTGTTGTTATTCCCATTAGCATGGGGGGAAGGTTGGATGGGTGCTGGACTGGGGTGGCAGCTGGACTGGAGGGCATCGAGGTGCTCCCACCTCCTCACTGCTCTCCTCTCTTCTCGCCCCGCAGTTGAGAGGCGGCGAAGGTTTAACATCAACGACCGCATCAAGGAACTGGGGATGCTGATCCCCAAGGCCAATGACCTGTATGTATCCCTAGTTTCTGTTGGGCTGGGATAGCAGTGGGCATTGTGGGCTTGCTCCTCGCCCTGTGACAGGAGGTACTGTTTTGGGGAGCAAGCAGTTGCAGGTGCCTAGCTCTTTTCTATCCTGCACCATAGGGATGTGCGCTGGAACAAAGGGACGATCCTGAAAGCTTCTGTGGACTACATCAAGAGGATGCAGAAGGACCTGCAGAGATCGCGGGACCTGGAGAACCACTCGCGGCGGCTGGAGATGACAAACAAGCAGCTGCTACTCCGCATCCAGGTGAGTTTCCTTCTGCTCTTCCCTCCTGCTTTCTCCAGCCTTTGAAACATTTCAGTCCAGCGTGCCAGGCTCTCCTCTCTTAGGCTGACAGGTCACCAGGCACCTGGTGTGGGCATTGTCCAGCTCTGCAGGGGTGTTCCAGACTGTTCTGTAGGCTCCTTCCCAATGATCTCCACAGTCCCTCTGTCCTGTTTTCCCTTCAGTTTCTGTGCCTTCCTCCTTTCCTGCTGCCTCCATGGATGCCCACCTCCCGTGTCCCTGCGTGCTGTGTCCCTAAGCACTACATCCCCATATGCTCTGTCCCCGTGTGCCGTGTCCCACCAAAGTCCTCTGTTGCAGGAGCTGGAGATGCAGGCGCGCGTGCATGGGCTGCCCACCTCCTCGCCCTCAGGTGTCAACGTGGCCGAGCTGGCTCAGCAGGTGGTCAAGCAAGAGGCCGGTGCAGATGAGGGGATGCTGGAGCCACTGCTGCCCCCTCCGGACCCCGAGTCACAGCCGGTGCTGCCTCCACCGCCGCAGTCTCCCTACCACCAGCTGGACTTTACCCACAGCCTGAGCTTTGACGACGGCTCCCAGGGCTTCCCGGACAGCCTGGAACCCGGCCACAGCACTTCCTTCCCTTCCCTATCCAAGAAGGAGCTGGACTTGATGCTGCTGCAGGACACCATGCTGCCCCTGGCCTCCGACCCCCTGTTTTCGGCCGTGTCCCCCGAGGCCTCCAAAGCCAGCAGTCGTCGGAGCAGCTTCAGCATGGAGGATGCAGACATGCTGTGACGAGGAGCTGCGCCCGTGCTGGGGGCGAGGACTGGGCCTTCAAGTTTGGTTAGTGAAGTCACAGGGCACTCTTCCTCCTGGGGGAGGAGCCCGTCCTGCTGAGCACTTGAATCTACATAGGAGTACATTTTCTCTATGCAATGGGGGTCTCGCTTCAAGGCTCGCCGGGTACCACCATGTCTTTTGCAAGCTTTTTGTTGCCCAGAGCTGGAGCCGACCTTCTTGGCTTGCCATGGCGTTGGCCTGGCTGCAGCTTTTCCAGCCAGGCAGCATGATCTCGGCTGCTTCGCCTTCCAACATGTTCCTGCTGTGCTCCATGTGTGGGCTCGGAGCTCCATGTCCTGGGTGTGATGCTCACAGCTCTCTGCCTCGCTGCCCCCTCCCAGTATTCCCCTGCTGTGCCACTGATGGCTTTTGATGGCTTTGTCACAGTGTCACCTCCCTGCTGGGGCTCCTCCTGACAGTGCCTCTCCAGGGTTGTGGGGAGAAACGGTGCTCCAGTGGAGCAAGCAAATTCCCAGGGCATGGGAGGGGATGTCCTATGGAATTTTGTTGCTTCGATGTCCTGGAGGTCCAGCAGTACTGTGTCCATCAGCCTCCACCCCACAGAAGTGCCTCTGCCCTGAAACACCACACTGTGCTCTCAGCTGGGGAGCAGCATGTGGTTTTGATGCTGATTCTTTGCGCGTGTGCTGAGAGCTGACGTCCTGCCCTGCATCAGCATGGCAGCTGTGCCAGGCGTGGTCTGTGCCCATTGCTAAACCTGAGCATCACTGCTTGTCCCACTGTTGGCAGCATGCTCCCAGCCTCACCCATGGGGCTGTGGGATGTGGGTCGTTGCTTCCCTGGCATCAGGGGGAACGGCTCAGAATGAAAATACTGCACTGATCTGCTCTTCCAAAGGGGAGCACGAGGGAAGGCTGCATGGAGCTTCTGCAGGGCCCCATCACAGCGCAGCGCTGTGGGGCTGGGGGAGGTTGGGTGTTGGAGATCAGAAGTCAGAGTGTGCCCTGTTCCACCATGAGGATGGGGAACAGTGGGGCGAGGTGGGGAAGGGGTGCGTGAGGCAGCCCCCGAGGAATGCAGGAGAGGTGACTGTGTGGTGTGGAGGGTGTGGGGAAGTGTGGAGGGTGGGGTAGAGGAGGGAAGGGGCAGAGGGGAGATGGCAGCAGGGCTGACAGGGGCCAGTGGAATTGGGGCTGTTTCAATCCATGTGTTCACCAGAGGCCTTTGGGCATCACTGCTGTTAGTGCCTGCAAAGACAGAGCGCCTCCAGGATGGGACAGTGGTCCTCCAGGATGGGACGATGGTCCTCCAGGATGACATGATGTCCTCCAGGATGAGACAGTGTCCTTCAGGACAGGACAGTGGTCCTCTAGGATGACACAATATCCTCCAGGATGGTTGTGCCAGGCCCTTCTGCTGCTGGGGGGCATCTCCCAGTGCGTGAGCAAGCAGCTGTGGATTATTGTTATTTTTTAAATCTTTTCAGAGGTTTTGTTTGTTTTTTTGGTTTTTTGGTTTTTTTGTTTTTTTGTTTTTTTTTTTAATGCACTGTGCTCTGATTTAAAAAAAAAAAGAAATTTTACTACTGTTTTATAAAGAAATGTATAAAAGAATGAACTGGAATGGAAGAAGAATCATTAAAATATATTTATTTACAACATACTGGAGCCTCGTGGTGTGGGCTGTTTCTCCTCGGGGCACTCGGAGCTGTGTTCCCACAGTTGTGTTGGGGCTGCATCCCCCTTTCTCCTAGGGTTGGATTTTGGGGTGCCAGGTCTGGCTGGGTGCTGGACTTCCAATTAGCATTCTGCTGGTTAATTAGAGCCTTGGGAAAGGCGGGTATGCGTGGGGTTGGGTGGGGGCTGGGTGGGGGTACCCTGTGGGTGCGATGTGCTGTCCCCTCTGCTCCCACTGCTGCTGGGTTAAGCACACACACACACAGGGCAAGAGAAATACAAAGAAATTCTGCCTTAAAATAGACTTCCAGGGTGGAAAATCGCAGGGGCTGATCTTGGAAACTTCATTAAAGGGAAAAGGGGAAAAGTGAGAGAGGAGTTGGAGGCAGGGGGAGAGAGGGGGGGTTCAGAGACTTGGAAAAAAAACCCACCCTGATTTATCTGGGGAGCGTGAGCACTAAATAGAGAACAACGCCTGAAGTGTGAATGATTTCCTATATTAACACAGAGAAAAACTGATAGCCTTTTCATGTCAGGAGAATAGGGGGGGGTGACATTGTTCCGTCGCTGGGTTTGCTCACTCTTTATCAGGCGGAGATCAAAATTTATTCCCAGGATGAGGCCCGCGGCCCGGCTGAGGCCCTAGAGATTTTTAAGGGCCTAATTAAGAAAACAGGATGAAAATGGCGAAATAAGAGGGCAATTTACTTCTTGCAGAATAGGGAGATCAAATCAACTTATGAGCAATTAATGTGCACAAGGAGAGAATAAAGGGATGCCGGGATATGGTAGAGGGCCTCATTTTAATGACATGCTCTGGTGTTGGCATAGAGGATTACTCTGAAGGTCAGATGTAGATTGAAACGACCTTGCAGATTCTTAACCCTCCTTCCAATTAACAGAACCAACTCAGAAATGCAAAAGACCCCGGCTTGGAGCACTGTCATCCCTTTATGTTCAGAAGGGAGAAAAAAAAAATCATCATAAAGGAGAGAGAGGACGAAAGGGGGTTTCCTTTGCTTAAACAACAGCTGCTGGAGATGGAGCTCGGGCAGGCGGGAGAGAAGGGCTCTTAATTACAGCATGTGAGCCACCCACCAAACAGAGCGGTGTCAGCACTGCCAGTGGGTGCAGGGGAGGAGGGAGAGGGGCTGCAGGGCTGTGATGAGCTGCGACCGGGCTCTGCTGTGGGGTTGGGGTGGGTGGGAGGATGGATGGATGGGTGGATGGGTGGATGGATGGATGGGTGGATGGATGGATGGACAGACAGATGGGTGGGTGGATGGGTGGATGGGTGGATGGATAGATGGACAGACAGATGGATACGTGGATGGATGGATGGATGGATGGATGGGTGGACAGGTGGGTGGATGGATGGACAGACAGGTGGATAGATGGGTGGCTGGACAGGTTGATGAGTGGATGGATGGACAGACGGATAGATGGGTGGATGGATGGGTGGATGAGTGGATGGATGGATGGACAGACAGATGGGTGGGTGGGTGGGTTGGTGGACGGGTGGATGGATGGATGAACAGATGGAGAGACAGACAGATAGATGGGTGGCTGGATGGGTGGATGAGTGGGTGGATAGACAGATGGATAGATGGGTGGCTGGACGGGTGGATGGGTGGGTGGATGGATGGACAAACAGGTGGATAGATGGGTGGGTGGATGGACAGACAGACAGGTGGATAGATGGGTGGCTGGACAGGTGGATGGGTGGGTGGATGGCTGGACAGACAGGTGGATAGATGGGTGGATGGATGGGTAGGTGTATGGCTGGACAGGTGGATGGATGTACGGACAGATGAATGGATGGAGGGGTGGATGGATGGGTGGGTGTGTGGATGGACAGATGGATAAACAGACGGATGAATGGACAGGCAGATGGAAGGATGGATGGGTAGGTGGGTGGATGGACAGATAGATGGACAGATGGAACAATAGATGGGTAGATGCATGGATGGATTAGTAAATGGGTGGATGGATGGGGGGATGGTGGACAGCAATGGTGCTGGGCTGCAGGCTCACAGGTGCTCCTCATTCAGGTCATCATCAAGCATCTTCAGCACACACTGGGGTCTCTAAGGATGTCCTCAGTCCTATACTGCCCCTCCTGCACCAACCGAGCTGCAAGTGTCCCATCGGAGTGGGACCAGATGGGCCTTAAAGGTCCCTTCCAACCCAAACCATTCTATGAGTCCTCAGTGGCTCCACTTTGCACTCTTTGGCACATTTTTCCATTACCCCATGCAGCATGCAGTTGTTGTTTTTTGGGTGGATCCTAAGCAGTGCTGGGAGCGGCCGCACCCTCTGGATGAGGGACTGCACGCTGGTCCTTCGGGGGCAGCCACGACCCTGACTTTTCTCACCCGGTCGGGCTGTGTCCGCGCTATCCGAGCGCACCCGCGGGGTCCCGCAGGGCTGGGACGGGGTTGCGCTGGGGGGACACGGCGCCGAGTGCTGGGCAGGAGCAGTGAGGCTGCACAGGGCCCGAGCAGCCACCAGAGAGAGCCAGACTGTTGCTGGAGAAAGCCGCTCCGTGCCGAGCCCGGCCGTGCCTCCGGGTCCCTGCTCTGGCCGGTCAGCTGCCCCTGGTCCCTAGGGTTCAGACGGGGCTCCAGTGCCACCGAGCAGAGGGAATGCAGGTATCTCTTGTGGGGCTGCTGCTGCTTTCGGCTCGAGATTTGGGACCGAGGAACTGCGTCCCAGTTGCTGGGACTTGCTGGCCCCAGAGCTCAGCCCCGTTGTGCTGCTTGCAAGGAGGGTCATCTCCTGCCTGCTCTCAGCCCGAGCATCCCGTGCCTGGTGTGCTGCTCCCTGCCCTCCTGGGATGGTTTTGGTGAGCCCACGAGGGGAATCAGCTGGAGCAGCTCTCTTCTGGTGCCCTTAGTGCTGCCAGCAAACCAGCTCACCCAGCTCTTCCAGTCTCTTAAAACTGCAAATCCAACTTTCTGAGAGCTCTAAACCCCCTTCCTCTGGGCTGAGCTACAAAACAGCACAGCAGATCTGTGGGCTCCAGGATGGGACAAAGCCCTCTGCCATGCAGGGCTGGGGGTGGGATGTGGCCGTGTGCCCTGCTGTGCTGGGCCTGGTTTGGGACCTGCCCAGTGCTGCTCAAACTGCATTTGTCTGAGAATGGGTTTCCTTCTAAAGAGATCCCTGACTCCCTCAGTGCCATCCTTCACATGCAGACAGACAGACTGATGCTGCTGGCATCCCAGACAATTTTCTGCAAGAAGATCCCTTGGAAGGAGTGAAAAACCTTAATGAAATAGAAGATGGGCTTTATCCTGATGCCAGCCCAGCACTCCAGGAGCGCACTGCTTGGCAAGCAGGGCAGCCCTACCCCATGAAGGGAGCAGTGTGGAGCCTAAGAAGGAACTGATCTAGGGGCTTCCCCTGCCCCACCCCACACCTTGGGATGGGTGTGGGACTCTGCAGCATTGCTGGCCCATGACCAGCCGGGCTTGCAGTCTGGAAGCCATCCCCTGTCTTGCTGCCGGGCTGTTGCTGAATTTTCCTCCCCCCCCCATCTCCCCTCATTTCCTTTCTGGCTCTCACTGAGCTCGTTCTGTGGTTTCAGCTCTGCTCCTTCCCCACCTGAAGCCCCAACACTGCACCGGTGACGTCAGCTGGGGTTGTTGTGGCAACGGTTGGGATGAGGTCAGAGGGAAGGGATGGCTTTTTCAGGTGGGGAGCAGGCAGTGCGGCCGCCTTGGCTTCGAGAACCCGATGCAGCTCTTTGCAAGCAAATCCTAGCGTGCAATAAAGAGGGAGAGACTGGAAAACCTGTGATGTCTGTCCAGACATCGCTTCCAAAGAGAAAGGGGTCCCTGACTCTGAAGGGTAGCTCCCTGGGTGCCCTTGGCTGCTGTTTTTCTGCCAGCAGCTTGTTAAAGCCATGGGGATGGTTTAATCTCCGTGGGACGTCTGGTGCTGCAGCAGGAGCAGCCGTGTGCCCTGAGCCAAGGGGCAGAGAATGGGGGCGGAAGGATGAAGAATGCTGGGAGGGACGGTGCTGGGAAACAGACATGGGAAGAGGAAAAGGCAGTGCGGGCAGAATGCAGCTCCCTCCTGGGGAAGGACACTGAGTGTCCGTGCCTTGGTTTCTCAGCAGCCTGGATGACGATGCCAAAGAGACACAGCGGTGCTCAGTGCAATGCAGGGCAGCTGGTAGGGGGCAAATTCCCTGGGTCTGAGCCCTGCAGAGCCAAAGTGCAGCTCCTGGCCGCGCTCCTTGGCCCCAGCGAGGGGCAGAGCAGCAGAACTTGTGCCTTTGGTCTCAGCTGGAGCTGAGCAGCCCTTCCTGCCCTTCTCCACAGCCCTGCCAGGACTGGCACCTCTGTCCCACAGACCAGGAGGGCTGGGGAGCAGCAGCCAGCTGTATGTTCCATGCCTGGTGCTGAGCATGGACCAGTTCAGGAGCACACGGGGGTGCTGGGATCCCAGGATCCAGGCTGAGATTGACAGCACTCAATTTGTCCCAATGTTTAGAACCCGATTGGAAGGAAACCCAGTCCGGTTTGTTCAGGGACCTCAGGGAGGTGGGATTCCTCATCCCAAGCCCCCGTTTTGGGCTCATGTATCTCTCAGGCCACAGTGCAGCCCTTCTGCCTCTTCCCCTGCGCTCCTGAGCTGCTTTAATCAGCTCATAGTTTTCATTTCATGCCTTTCTCGCTCTCCTTTTTGAGGGGGCAGTGAAATTTATACAATATTTAAGCAGCATAGTGGAGTCCTGGAAGATATTATTAATGTAAAAGGGACAGGCTGGAAATGCACTTGAACCTGGTTACAATTAGAGGGTGATTTTTCTAAAGGTCAATGAATTCAGATAATATCCACAGGGGGGAAAAGAAATTTAATACCTTTTTAGTGAATTAATTAATTATAATATTATATCGGCTTGGGGTTCTTTTCCAGAGTGATTAAGGGAACGATCTGTCTTCGGAGAGGCTGGGGGGTGTCAGTGAGCTGAAGACTGACAG